CGCTGTGAAGTGCTGTGGTGGCGAGATGATGTTCTCTCCTTCGCCTGGTCTGCAGGAAGTCGCGTGTGTGGGCTTCCATCCCGACCCTGACGAAGCCTGTATATTCGGAGTTTTCGTGTGTCCTCTCCCCGTGGTCGCGTAGGTTTCGCTACGGGTCCTCCGATTTTCCCCTCCACATTTTAGAAACGTGCGTTTTTAGATTATTTGGCCGCTATAAATTTCCACGTCAGCCACCAAGTTGAGCGGTCGCACCTCCGATTTTAGCACGGTTGGCCACGCTCGGTGCGAAAGTTCAATATACGTACATTTGTGGCAAGGTTACTTCTGAAAAAGAGCTAATACCTCGGCGTGCTTTACTGTGGTAAAAATAATAAATTACGTTTTTTAGTTTTCCCCGTGCCAAGCGGTGTCATGACGCTGGGAAACCGCAGGTGCCACGCGTAACACACGAGGCACGACTGCTGCGCTATGAGACACCATTGCAAGACGCTGATGTAATCCATCAGAGAAGTGGTCATTTGCCTGTGAGGAATAGCACTGAATGGCTCTGTTTATTTTTAAAGGTGGCGTTGAACGCAACTTGGCAATGTTTAAATATTATTTTTTTATAATAATAAAGGGAAGTTAAAGGCTGCAGCCCTGCAATTGCTTGTTCACATCACTGCTTGCAGAAGATCTTCCATTAGTGGGAGCTCACGAGGCCCTCTAACAAGGTACTGGCCTACTCTTCCACGCTAGCCATGCATCTTGGACTATGAGTGGTGTACTCGCTTATAAGTTACATGATGCACCATTGTTGCCAGCTGAAACTGTGAACGCACAGAATGATTGGACTGACGTGGCCGGGTGGTTCAGGGCTGAAGAACCCTGGGTTCGAATCCGTTTTGCGTCAGTCCCGTGATTTGCAAGTCTATTGAGTTGATGGTCTGAGCTTGGATCACGGAAAACACATTGCAATACATTTGTTTTTGTCCCCCCACTGAAGTTGGATAAATTCCATCTCTTGGAATAGTATTAATAATAAACATTAGCTTGCCATGTGACAAACCTTTATCTGTAGCAGGGCATGTATGAAATTGTGCCACAGCGTGTTGCTTAAACCAGTTCACTTGAAGGGATCCCTCGGAAGTAGTTCTGTACAAGCTGCCTCCTGTAGGCTCTTCTCTAAAATAAGGCGATCTAAACACAACGTGAATACAATTCCTGACCAACACAAAGCATACCGATACACCACGACCATGAAACGCACGCCGTTACCAACGCCGCACAGGCAGACTTGGAGGCGTGGCCATGTCGTGTCATCTCTCTGGGTATTGTGACGTTTGTCATCTGGGGGGGGGGGGGCTTGGGGCCGGAGGATGGTGGCGGGGAGAGCCGGGAGGGGGGTGGGACCGGTGGTTCCAATTTGAGGGGCTACCATACTCGAGGTGGTGTTGAGCACCGCTGGGCTAAGTGGATATTTTGTTTGGCTATAAAGTGGATGTCTGCTCATCGAAACTTCCAAAGAAGTGCTCCACCCCCCCCTCCCGAGCCGTCATAAATCTAACCCTGCGATGGCGCATGCCCGCTTTGAAGACTCTACACAATTCAAGAGGACATGTGGTTTTGTGTTTCACATAGCTCATGCATGCGTGCTATTTCGTAGCGACGAGAGAATTTCATAAACCATCTCAGCAGCATAACTCGGCTTTATCTTAGATGACAAGTTTGTTTGGTTCATTATAACGATTCTACAGACTGTGTGCAGTGTAAATCGTCGTGGTATCTTTTTGAAAAATAGCCTGAAATCGACTCCCGCTAAACATTTTCACATCGACTGTTATTACAACACGATAGCGTAGTTTATTCTCTTTTTTTACTTTGCTGTGGAAAAACGCCAGTCGTCAAAGTGCCTCTCACTTTTGCTTTAACGTTCGAGACAAGACGGCAGGAGTTGGTACGGTGGCCGACACGCGTGCCTCACGGCAAAAAAATGGGGGCCTGGGTTCGATTTTCGACTCGTGTGTGTGTGTGTGTGTGCCTGTGTGGAGTTCGTAATGTCCCTCCCCCCTTGTTCTGCATGGGTTTCCTCCCGAATTTTTTTATTTCTTCCTATAGTTAACCACCATCACGTACAATGCAACTGGTATTGGCCAAACCGCATCCAAATATTGAAAAATTACCTGTAAACTACATCATGGGGCCTCCTTTGCCAGTACCAAAATATAAATAATAATAGGGGTTTTTCCCTTTTTATCTGGGGACAAAAACTGCAACGTTTTGCAAGGATTCCTGTTTACATTAACCACAATACTTGCAGTCAGAATGCAAACAAAAAACAATTGCAAGTATTGTAATTGATGTTAACATGATTCCTTGCAAAAGGTTTCAGTTTTGTCGCCAACATTTCCCACCCCCGATTGCAAAAAACTTGGCAGGACCCTCCTGAAAAAGAGTCCTGAGACTGAGTGACGGCATTCCTGGCTTAAACACGCCGCTTTAAAGCAAGCAAAACCAAACGACAAAAAGCCTTCCGCCACAGAGAGGCGCACGACGTGAAAATCAAAGTCCTTTCCTGCTCCGATGACCGTTGAGACGGCGACCCGTCTCCCGCGTGCGTGCAGTCCCTGAGCCCAGCTGTGGGAATTCCACATTCCTACGGCAGCAGAAGAGTTTGTCCAGAGGCCACAATCCCCCTGTGTGTTTGTGAGTGCAATCGGAGCAAAGGACTCGAGGAAGCCCCCAAGCGCGCACCAAAAAAGAATCCCAGATTCAATCCAGCTGATGAGTGGGCCGTGTGATAAGTGAAATTTTTCGTGGCTGCGAGGGGAATGTGGGGGAGGTCACAAATCCCAGCTGTCCGCGAGGGTCACGGAGAACCGCCGTCGACTTGCGTTCGCTCTGTAAAATGTCCCGCGGCGCATAACTGAGCTGGAACGACTCGCAGTAAACAGCCTTGCTCCCAAGACAAAGGTCCCCTGTATAGCCTTCACGGACTTGTTGGGAAAGTGCTGTTAGCGAGCACCTAATGAAGGCTGGCATGGCACACGAGGGCTTGGGTGGCCAGCACCACACCTAGCTGCCTTTGTCTCCCTAAGTGGCGATGGTTACACATCGCACCAGGTACTCGTTTGAGGCCGAGTCGACCTAGTGGATGCCCAGGAGCCGGTTCAGATAATAATCATTACTGGTGTTGGCAGCCGTGAGCGAGAATCGAACTCGGGTTGCCAGGGTTTGTAGCGCAGGACTCTAACCGCTGCACCACCGCTCCCTAGATCCAAACAGAGACGCACGCACACTTGCCTTTTATGAGACTCTCTCGTGTGGCACGCTGGGAAAAAAGACGCACCGAGCCTCTACCCATTGCCCCAGGGGTTTTGTTTATCCTTTGCAAGGGGCATTCAATATCTCCACTCCCACCCATAATCTTACGATGGAAAAGGTGGTGTCAAAACAACGACGTGACGGGCTGGCATCGAATTCCTTCTGTCCACCATGCACACGCCGCGCTGCGGTCGGTGGAACGGCACGGACGCCGCGAGCCGGCAACACGTCGCGAACGTGTGCGCGGGGGAGCGTCCTTCGTAAACACCAGCCGAGGACGCGGGCCGGAATTTGACGAAAACGTGTCGACGAAAGTCAAACTTTTTTTGCGTTTTCATACAGGGCGGCCCGTTGGTAGACTCCTTCGCTGAAAATAAATCGGCAGAAGTTTTATCGGAAACGATAATTCACTTTCAAAGGGTTCTACACGGCACCTGTCAATCTCGGTACACGTGTGACATATTTCGTATCGCTCTGCCTCTCTGTAAACATCGGAAGGCCATGGCCTTCACAATCGGAGAGCCGCTGTGGCGAGATGTTAACTTCCTCTCCTAGTATGCAGGTGCTCGTGGGTTCGATCCCGAGCCTGCATATTTGGAGTTTGTATATTCTCGTGGTCGTGTGGATTTTTCTCCAGATCCTCCGGGTTTTCATTCCACGTTCAGAAACATGCCTTTTTAGAGTTTTTGGCTGATATAAATAAGCCAACTTCGTTGAGCTGTCATTTGTGGTCACACATTGCAATACACTTCTGAAAAAGAACAATAAAGCTCAAGTGGGCCTTACCTGGTAACACATTCCTGCGGAGGGACCTGGTAGGAACGTTGGGTTGCTCGGTCAATGGCCAGGGTCAACGGCGGCATAGTGTATTCCGCAAATATGGCCGACTGTGAGGGCGGGCACAAGCCGGCGTGAGTAGGTTAAACGTTGAGTTTTATAAGGGCACCATGGAGTGACCAGCCCCTCCCCTCTCCACCCAGCCCCACCCCTCCCATTTTTGGATGCACGATGGACGGACGAACACAATGATCCCCTGTGGGCTGGTGTAACCAGGAGGGTCCCACCAGTGTAAAACAAAAATTAAAGCAGCTTTTGAGAAGGGTCACACGAATTGTGTGGTGGACCTGTACATGGATTGCTGTGTAACTTGCCGACGGGTCGGGCACATTGAATAGCACCTTCTCAAACGTACATCGTGCGCCTGTGCCGATTCGTTGTTGGCAGCCGCTGGTGTTAATTCCTCATTCCCACGGTTGAGGCCAGCGTTTTACGTGGCGAGCGGCGCCTGGGGGAGAAAGACCAACGGCTGTTGTCTTCTTGTAAAGTGGTGCATATTTTGTCCATCCCGGAGGAATTCTGGGGCCAGAGTCAATCCCCAACGGAGATTTGAACTCGCAGGCTTCGCGTTGTGGTCGTGGATGAGTCAAATCGAAGTTTGGTTATTTTTATTTTATTGGCAAACAATGCTTTACAACAGCACGTGGTCATAAAATTGCAAATAAGTATTTTTTTTTTCAGTGACATAGCCCTACCCATGTAGCCGGAGTGCACTTGCCAACAACACATTTCTACCCAACAGCATTTAATTTAAGAAGCCTCACCCCCGCTGCAAAATCTAGCGAAAATAATTTCCATTTACATTGTCCGAGTTTGCCTCGTCTGTGTCCCCTGTTAACGTTGTCTCGTCTTGGTTGCAGCCACCGACTGCGCGGTGCTGAGCTGGGGCGCCTGGTCGCCTTGCAGCAGCGCGTGCGGCGTGGGCAGCCGGGAGCGCAGTCGCCAAGTGACGGTGCCTCCGCACAACGGAGGAGCCAAGTGTCCCCAACTGCGCCAGCGCCAGGGCTGCTACAGCCACTCGCTCCAGCTGTGCCAAGGAATACGAGGTGAACGGCACGGCATGTTGGCGAGAGACGGACACTCCAGTGGCGTAGCGTGATTTTGGCGCGAGTCCTGGTTCAAAGGACGAAAATGAAGGATCGCCTGTCTCGATTTCTCCAGCGCACAACTGGTTTGGGTAATGATTAAAATCATCGTGTGATTTTTTTTTTGGTAACTTACCCATTTTTATACATGTCGTGCTATATCGGCATTGTGTGGACTTGCAATGTGTGAAAAGGCGCTTCATAGCTCATCGGATTCCTTCAGTCTTAATATTCAGATTCCAATCGTGTCACGGGACAAATCATTTCCATCCGGATCTTTTGCAGAGCGGTGCGACCCATTCATTGTCTGACAGAGCGGCCCACTGAAGTAGATCTCGCAGAGCTACCTCGGATGCACACAGTAGGGAGCGGCACTTTCCCAACTGTCCTATCACAGAGAGTAACGTTCTTTCCATGACATTCAAAGCAATTTAAAAATAAATTCTCAGATCTGAAATTTTGTGACATTCGGCGCAGAACTCAATTTAATGTGATTTGGTTATTTTTGCGTGCCAAACTTGAGCATCTGGTTCAATCACAGGTGGCACAAACCTGGATTGGAACCCCGGATCTCGGCGGTGCCAGCTTGGTGCTCTGCCCTTGGGTCAGGGGTGGGGAACCTTTTTTCTGCCAAGGGCCATTTGGATATTTACAACATCATTCGCGGGCCATACAAAATTATCAACTTAAAAATGAGCCCGTTATATTTGGCCAAACATTTAATTAACTCGCCCCTAATGTGATGGCTGGAACTGCTTCTCTTTGGCGATGCGTGTGTGTTAGCTGGTATTGACTGATGTTGCTACTCGCAACTGCTTTTCCAGGTTTGCTCCTAGATTTATTGAATTTCGAGTCCCGCCTACGGTTGCCTTGGCAGGGCCAGACCAAATGATTTTGCGGGCCTTCTACGGCCCGCGGGCTGGATGTTCCCCACCCCTGCCTTAGAGCCACCCAGCTACCTCCCTTAGATAGCGATACAAACCAATAACAAACAGAAAATAAATTATTTTTTGTGTGCGTGTCGTAACATTTTGTGACTGTTGACGATGCGACCCGATACCATTTATCGTCGGGTGCAGAAGTGGCCCAGCTGCTGCCAAACTACTACACACGGAGCACAAACGACCCCTGGAAGAGGCCCCACATGATGAAAAATGAGCCCGCGACCAGGTGAGGATTCCGAGGTTTGGCCAAACGACGGCGATTCGTTTGTAACGCGTAAGTTAGCGGGGAGGACCATTGCACCACATGTGTGGTGACCTCTTGTGACCGCATTTGTATCAACTGCTCTTGCTACCATTCCGGCATCTCGAGTGATTTGTTTGAGCCACGTATCATGGTGGGGGGGGACCATGGGGTCGCAGTCCACTTCGAAGGTCGACCGCAAACTGAAGTGCCGACGTTCACCCTAAATTCGGACCTCCTGATCTCACAGCCCGTGACGATATCGCCCGATCCCATCGGACCCCCGGAGTTGATCCGATTTTTTAAATCCTTTATATTAAGTTCGCTTGCTTGCGCGCTTACGACCGTGCAAATCTTTCGGTCGTTTTTTAACCCACTTCCCGTGATCCAATCGAGCTGACATTTTGCACACAGACTCGTTGTGCGTGACAATTTATTTACTTTTTAGGAATTTTTTTTTTCATATTTAATTTAAAATACCAATGTGATAACAAGTAAACCCGTAAAAACAAAGTTTTTCACTCTAAATCCTTTATATGCGTGGCGGCTAGAGTTCTCTCGTCCTCTGGCTTGAGATGGCTGCAATCTATGGGTCAGATGATTGCATTGCACCATTAAGCAATTGGTAATTAAATATTTAATTTGTTTTCCCTAAACAAGTGTAAAATTTTGGAAAAAAAAATTTCACGAAAATTAATTGTCACACACAACGAGTCTGTGGAAAATGTCAGCTCGATTGGATCACGGGAAGTGGGTTAAAAAACGACCGAAAGATTTGCACGGTCGTAAGCAAGCAAGCAAGCGAACTTAATATAAAGGATTTAATAAGTATAACCCGTAAAAACAAAGTTTTTCACTATAAATCCTTTATATGCGTGGCAGCGAACTTAATATAAAGGATTAAAAAAATATATGCCTGTGGAGGACGCGGGGATCGATCCCGCGACCTTTGGCATGGGAAGCGAGGGCGCTACCAACTGCGCTACTCCGCCACGGCCTATGGAGGGGTTACGCCCTGGGCTCTTATACTGTGACGTTCAGCCAAAGTGATGAATGAGTTCTATTTGAATATATGTAAAATAAAAAAATTTTGCCTAAAAAGTATACAATTTTTGGGAATTTTTTTTCACGAACATTAATTGTCTGGGACAACGAGTCTGTGTGGAAAATGTCAGCTCGATTGGATCACGGGAAGTGGGTTAAAAAACGACCGAAAGATTTGCACGGTCGTAAGCAAGCAAGCACGCAAGCAAGCAAGCGAACTTAATATAAAGGATTTAAAAATGAAACTCTCTTACTCAAGAAAAACAGAAATGAATAATAAAATAAAACCGATGCCACGCATATAAAGGATTTATAGTGAAAAACTTTGTTTTTACGGGTTAATTTTTTAAGCCTGGATTAGAGCTTTGATAGACGGCCACCGAGCATTAGACTCGTGTAGAAGATGCTCTGGGCAGTCGGGGGCACTGCAGCAAATCCCATTGTTGCTGTCACCACCCACCCCACCACCACAACCGGCCACCACCTTCAGCCTATACTGTGCATTTTGGTGAAGCGTAGTCCGATGGTTCTCTCTGCCCGCATGGTGTAGGCAAGCCCTCCTCCAGCAGTGAATCGATGCACACAGGCTGCGCATGTGGCATTACCTCCTGCATGTACCCGAAATTCGCCAGATCTCAAAAGCTAAGCAGCAGGTTTGAGCCTGGTTATTTGATGGACGCGAGACTTAACCCGGTACTCGTCGCTGTTGTAGGCTCGAGTTGCGAGGGTGGTCCGGAGATCTGCAGTGAATGATTGGATTCTTGCATATTTCTGTGCATAAGACTGTGTGGTGGGTTTTCTCTGGGTGCTTTGGATTCTTCCTCCACAAAGCCACCTCGCGAATAGGGTCGGTCAAACCCAATTTAGGGCCACCATGAAAATGAGTCCTGCGACACTGTAAGGCTTTCTTGGCCAATGAACATCCGTGCCATTTATTACCATTATCTTCAGTTATTATTTAATCTAGCAAAGCCATGACGGCAGAGGATATAACGTGCTGCACTACGAACCTGACGATCAGAGTTGGATTCATGGGCACGGCTAACATCAGCGGCGAAATCTGTTCCGGTCCTGGGTGTCTTCTTCACCAACCCGCACTGACCAGCGTGGTGAAGTATGGCCAACGAATTCCACTTTCTACACGGCATGAGGGAGGCCTTCATCAGTGGTGTATTGACCACGGGGTACGAGTGGAGGATGGCGTTTGCATTGTAGGCGACCCCACTTTTTTCAAAAGCGAAATTGCCGGCGCGTCTAGTGAAACACGCGAGCAAACGCCACCGCTCGCGAGCCCCGCACTGAATTCGCGAGGCCAGTGTGCGCGCCGTTGGCCACTGCTCCCGCGGTATCGCCAACAAATTGCTGCCACGATTACACATCGGGCCAGAAGGCCGATAATTTGAGCTGTCGACGCACGTTGAAAGTCCAGTGCGCCGACCATTACACCGCAGGACCACCCGCGTACGAGACCACAACGCACCTGCCGTACTGCCACATACCGGGCTTGAACTCAAAGATCACGAGTGACGTGCCTGCGTGCATGATTGCCCCCCACCCCGCCCCCCCCCCCCACTGAGTTGGTCCGTAACCTACTTGCTGTATTGCCACATACTGACCGGACTCAAATATCACAACTGATGTGACTGCCCACCCCTCCCCCCCCCCCCAGCTCGTGCGTGTTCTTCCGCGTGGACGACGCGTCGTCGTCGTGTTCCAGCCGGAGCGCCGCGGCTCCGTGGCTCCGTCTCCTGCAGGCCGGGCGCAGGGTGTGCGTCGAGTGCCAGGCCGAGGCGGTCAGGCGGGGCGAAGGCCGCTGCTCGGGGGACGGCGTGAAGGGCACCAGGTGGGCCTGGCGGGGGGGGGGGGGGTGGGAGGCTGGCTTGTGTGGGCCCTGTGACACGGTCACGGTGGTGGTGGTGGTGGTTGTGGCGGGGAGTGGTGGCCGCAGCGGATAGTGCGCCGTGCTACGAACCCGGTGGCCCCCGAGTTAGATTCCCACTCATGGCCAACATCGGTGACGAATATCGGAACCGGTCTAGGCCTCCCCTAGGTCAACTTGGCCCGCAAATTTAGTACCTGGTGCGGTGTGTAAACATTGCCACTGGGGAGACAAAGGCGGCCGGGCGTGGTGCTGGCCACCCACCCCCTCGTGTGCCGTGCCGGCCTTCATTTGTACTCGCTAACTGCACTTGTCTTCCTCAAGCTGAGGTTGTGTAGAGAGATCAAGTTGAGGCAGTGTCATTTTCACGATTGGTTCAACTGATCGGTATTTACGGCCGAGTTATGTTTTTTTTACACATTATAAGCACCCAGTAAGGCTTAAAGTTCGAATACTGTAAATGTTAGCAACTGTGGGGGGTGGTGGTGCAGTGGTATGCTCACTGGCGCTATGCACCCAGCAACCCCCAGTTCAATTCCCAGCCATGGCTGACATCTTGACCGGTCCTGGTCCCGCACCAAATTTACCTCCCTGCACGGACCATGAAGGTGGAGTCTGTCGATATAATCCAATTACTCTTTGGTTCTTTCGGCAAAGTCGCGTAGAAAGAGAAAATAAAATAAATAAATAATAGCGTACGACGTTTCGATTGCAACACAAGCAATCGTCATCAGGCACAAATGAAAGCTAAAAAAAACCTAGTGAACTTAGAAATATCATGCAAACAACACAGAGAGTCGGTTAACATAACAGTCAACACCCTACCTGGTTAACTGTTATGTTAGCCGACTCTGTGTTGTATTGCATTATATTTCTAAGTTTACTAGGTTTGTTTTAGCTTTCATTTGTACCTGATGATGATTGCTTGTGTTGCAATCGAAACGTCGTATGCTTTTATTTAATTTATCATTTTCTCTTTCTATGTGACTTTATCGAAAGAACCAAAGAGTAATCCCTGCAGTCACGAAAGCCCCAAATCAAGTTTGTAATCCAATTGGTCGCTTTGGGTTGGTGAATGGGCAACCCGGAGTTTGGGTTTTCACAGTGGCTCAGACTTAAAGTGTCGCGCAATGAGTGAAGATATAAAGTGTAATGCTTAGGGGATCGTACCAATTTTGGAATGGAGGAGTTCATCGAATGAAGCACGACAAATTTGTCTCTTGTTGAAATATGTTTTCGCTAAAATAATGTGGGGGGCAAGCTTAGAGTTCACGCGGAATGCTAAGGAAATCGATGCAGTGGAATGATAATGCTTGTTATTTGGTAGTTGGGGTATTTATGTTGCCGTAAAATGGTTTCGCTGCAGTAACAGCTGGTGCTGTAAATACATTTTCACACTTGGGGGGGGGGGATATTGATGCAAAAAATTCCTAAACAAAGCGGACTGCTCGCATTCAAGCGATGTGAAAATATTGTCGCGTTTTTTTCAGTTGTTGATGCCAATGTAGCTGTTAAACTGACATTAGCTTTGATTTAACCTCAATTTATTTTCTTTTTAAGCTGGCCAAATTGTCATCTAATTCGCTGTCATCGATACGAACCATGCTCTATCCACTGACGGATGACGGCCCACCCATGCCGACGTCGTCCCTAGCGGTCCTGCGAAGCAACAATCCATCTCGCTCCTGCCCACGACTTGTTCTTATCCCTCCATCTCCGCAGAGGTTGCCCTCTTGGGCACTCTTTCTTTAACGGCCATTCCATCACCAGTTTTGCCGATCGGCCAGTCGTCCCTTCCTGCAAATGTGTCCTGCTGGAGCCCACTTTCTTTGCTTAACGATCAATACGATGCCTCCTAATTTTCATTTGCTCCCGAATCCGTGTGTTCCTTTTCCCATCTCTCGGTCTCATTCCACGTACTCCACCTCTCCTCGTGTATTTGCGCACTTTTAAACTTTTGTTCCATGCACTGGACTCTGGCCTCCTCGCTCCAAATATCCACTTCTCCACCACTGGCAGTCGTTATTTTAGCCACCATGTGCTCTCCACCCCTCTGGAACTTTCTCTCCAGGGCGCCACAGATGCTATCGATCTCGCCTGATATAGAGGAGGTTGTGGGTTCGATCCCAACCCTAACGCCTGTATTTGCAGTTTGCTTGTTCTTTCCGTGGTCACGTATATTTTTCTCCGGGTCCTCCGGATTTTCCACTCCACATTTGGAATCGACACTAGTTTAGAGTATTTGGCCACTATAAATGACCACGTGATGATAAGCCACTTCGTTGAGCTGTATTCGTGGCCACGTCGCTTCTGACAAAGAGCTGTGTGGCTCGCTGGGCCTTACCTCTGTAAAATAAAATTAGTTAAAGAGGTGAAGCTTTTGTTACATTTTGAGTCCACGCATCTCATTCTGAACCGTGTCACCACAGGTATTCATATTCTTAGGTTTTTTCGGTAAAGTCACGTAGAAAAAAAAATGTTAATTAATAAAAGTAAAAATAATAATAATAAAAATTAATAAAACTAAAATAAAAATAAAATATTTTATTTTTATTTTACTTTTATTAATTTATGAAATAAAAATAAAATATTTTTATAAAATAAAAATAAAATATTAAATTTTTATTTTACTTTTATTAATTTTAACAAAAGTAAAATAAAAATGAAATATTTAATTTTTCATTTAACTTTAATTAAAATTTTTTTTTACTTTTATTAATTTAAATTTTTTTAATCTATGTGACTTTACCGAAAAAACCTAAGAATATCAATCCTTGCAGTCACGAAAGCTTCAAATCTAGAATCACCACAGGTACCAATGCGTTAGATTATGTCCTCGCTACACGAGCACACGAGCCCCCCCTCACCTCTATGGAATGCTCTCCCCAGGCAACTCTGCCTACCCCCCCCCCCTGCCCCCCCTTTGTTCAAGTCTCAGCCCAAAGCCTTCCTCTTCACCCCATGCTTTCAGGGACCCCACCCCCCCTTAATTGTTTCCCTTCCCTGCTCCCTTTGCACGGTCCCCACCCGTTCTCTCCCGTTTCCCCCCGTGCATTTCTGCACTCCGGGGCATGCGTACGTTTGTTGTGCTACGGATGCATTATGAATGCTAAGTTGTTTTTGTTATTGTTGTTGATGCAGATATTGATAGTAAATGTCAGCCACTGCCCCCCCCTCCCACTTCCCAATTAAAACAAACAACACGAGTGCTCGCGATGGCTCACGTTCGCGGTGGTTGTTGTTGTCGTTGTTGTTGGTGTCTCTTGCGTGTGACGAGGACGTTTTGGGTGGCTGCGCGAGTGCTCACGCTCGCTCACGTTCGCTCACGTTCCCGATGGTTGTTGTTGTTGTCGTTGCGTGCGACCCCAGGACGTTCTGGGCGGCCGTGTCGGTGCCCGGCTGCCGGGGTTCGTGGCTGCGCGAGCAACACCACAACGACTGCCGCTGCCCCCCACACTCATCGCTGCTCTTCGTATAGCGGCGATGCACGCACGCATCCACGCAGAGTTCACCACCCTCGTCGGAATCCGTGACAAAAATATTTGTCGGTGAAGTGTTTTTTTTTACAAATTTATTTTCCGTTCGCTGGTGGCTGCAAATGGCCGAAAATCATCAAGCGTGACGATGACTCCGACTGTCCAATGAACACCAAAGCTTGACCTGACTTATGACGAGACAGAATCAACTCGTTTTATTGAAGGAAAAGACTGGGATGTGTTCAAAACTGTAGTGCACGGAGGAAGACCAACAATGTTAATTTGTCATGCAAGTAGAAAACCACGAACGGAGTTCACCGATTGGCTAACATTCTACTGAGGGGGGGTGCAAAATTCTGCGTCCCTCACCAACAGAATTAAGTGTGAACTAAATGTCTTGCTTCTGGAGTTCAGTTGACGAGACTGAGAGAATGACTCTGAAATCCACAGACGAGGACTGGACTCGGGACTCCGCAGGTTGCCGTTGACGAGACAGAGACTGTGACTGAAATTAAAACTGAATTAACCTTGCGGCCGCATCCTTGGGACGTCGCTCTCGTCTGAGTAATGTCGACGTCCGGTCCTGTGCTTCTCTCATTGTATTATTTGAGTTAGATTTTTTTTTTCCTCCATGACGGTAGTTCTTGCGGTAGCTATTTATTGCGCGGGCGTCCGTGCTCCGACCCTTGCGTTGTGATGCTGTAAATTCCCAACCTTCCTAACAATTTCGGGGGGCGGGGGGGGATTGCAATTTTAATTGCATGTCTGACGTTTCCCTCCACGTCCTGGGGTTTCCAGAATTGAATTCACTTCCTGGAGAAGCTGCCGGCACGTGGTGCAGACCGTCACACACAAGTGCCGGAACGACGCGCGGGACATCCCGCAAACGCATCGGAGATCTTCCATGATGCAGGTTTATTTTGGGTTGGATCGTGTAAAATATATAAATGTGTCGTTAAACCCGCCACCACCCGGAAGCAGTGACGTCATCACATCTACCCCGCTATTTAAGGGAAGAAACAGGAGGATTTCTCCACAAATCTGGCTGTCGCGTGATGAAGCTAATTGTATTCTACATTTGAAGTTTTCGTGACTGCAAGGATCCATACTCTTTGTTTTTTTCGGTAAAGTCACGTAGGTGAAAATAAAATAAAGTAACTAAATTAAATCACGACGTTTCGGACGCAACACAAGCATCCGTCATCAGATGCGACTGCTCCAGCAAAATTACTGTAGCGTCTGAAGACAGCTATTTAGAGACACCTGTTTTATATAGGGTACTGGGGGGGGGGGCATCTCTTGAGGAAGGTTAGCGTCTCGATAAGCTGTGACTTATTTTTCGATTGAAAGCTTTCGTGACTGCAGGGACTCATCTTCCTGGTTCTTTCGGTAAAGTCACGTAGAAGGGAAGAAATAAAACATAATAAAATAAAATAATATTATATTATTATGTTTTATTTTTATTGTTTTATTACTTCCCTGTGACTTATTGTCACGTTGTCTGTTAAAAACTCTAATTGTAATTACTGGTGAAACTTGTGGCGGGGACGACTTCTTGTCTTTTTTTTTCCGGGCCACTTTATTCACGATGTCAACATTACAGCGCTTGTCTCGCTCGGCACGCCGAGATTCCGCCGCGCGCCGCTCGTTCGCTCTCTCACTCGCCCACTCCCGGCCTCACTCTCTGCGATCCTTCGGCCCTTCGGCTGCCGCGTCTCGCTGTCTCGGCGTGCCGACACCACGGCAGCCGCGGCGCTTAAGCGTGCCGACGTACGGACTGCGCTCACGTCCTTAGTGCCTCTACCCTGAGCCTGTACGAGTCCACACAGGGATACTCTAGCCAGCCGCTGCTGGTCCGGCTTCAACAATTGTCTTCTGTCTTCAGCCCATTCCCCTCCGAACTCGTTCGCTCGTCTCTTATTTCACCTACGTGACTTTACCGAAAAAACCCAAGAATATGAATCCTTGCAGTCACGAAAGCTTCAAATCTAGAATCTTATATAGGCCTCGCGACCCTTCCAGAACATCCTGTCCGGAAGATTCTTCTGTGTGATTGACAGGTACCGGTCCCTTCAATTCCGGTCCATCTCCTACTTGAATCGCACCAATGGTCTTCCCCGCACGTGGCCACTCCTGACGTTCCCCCAGCCGTGTCGCGGTGCCGTGCCCGTGGCGACTCTTGCCCAGAGGTCGCAAATGGGTTTTGATTCCTTATCCGTACCTGGCCGCACCAGGGTCGCAAATGGGTACCCGTACCCTACCCGAAATGAGTGACAAACGGTTACTCACCAGTGACTCACGGCCTACCCGTACCCGGCCGCACCAGGGTCGGGTATCGGGTAGGGTACGGGTATCGGGTACCCGATTGCGACCTCTGCTCTCGCCCACTGCCTTCTCCTGGCAGCCGAGGGCGGACACGCGGCCGTGATAAACACGCGCGCGTTGCGCCACCACTACACAGAGTAACAAGTTGGCACGTTCTGTTGACGTGACAAACATTACGACTTGGCTGTGTCGGATGGTGGCGGGTTTAATGACATATTTTTACGCGATCTAACCCCCCAAAACAAAACTGTTATGCATGATATTTGTCGCGAAAGCCTACGTGTTTAAATCCGAGATCTTGATTCATTGGAATTTTGGCCGAATCCTGAATGGTCTCGCGACAAGATGATGGATGTTGGACGCAAACGCAAGGCAACCGTGCGATTTTTGTATTTAAACGAGGAGTTTACGGCAGTGACATCGTGATATTTAAACATAGGCAGTGGCCTCGTATATATATATGTAAACGACAAAAATGGCCAATGCATTAATATACAGCATGCGCGCTACATACAAACTGTACTCAAATGTTATGTTATTGTTTTTCCTTACGTCGCTATTCCGATTTGTGTTTTGTCATGAGCCGTCAAGTCGCTTGAATCGGAAGATCTGCAAGTGCCGCCATCCTGTGGCAGAGAAAGGGACCTCGACGATGACTCGGCTTTTATGAAGCGTTTCCGAAGCCTCTTCAATCGGGATGTTTGGCCACGCTCCGGGCACACGCCGTTTCTCATATGCAGTGCAGAGGGGTGTGTTCGTAGCATGCCAATAAAAGCAGCGTTGGAAGTCCTCCACGGTTGGGAGTTTCGCCAAATCTAATTGAAGAATCCCTTTTGAAATATCTTGCGAAATAGGTGGAGACTGCCATCTCTTCCTACAGCTTTGGGAATCTGGTCTCATCATGGGTGGTCGAAATTTGAATTCGAACCCAAACACATCAGCGGTGTCGGGGGGGGGGGGCTCGGTGTCACCCAGCCACGTCGTGCACAACCATCTCGTGCGCAACGTGGCTAGTCGCTCCTGAGACGAGTGTACACATTGTACGAAGTCGCACATTTGTAATTGTATGCTAGCCACCATTGGAACCACCATTGTATGCTAGCCACTTATCTTAAGTGAATCGTGCACAATTGTGCAAATTTTTGTTGTTGTAAAGTCATGATATTGTTTTTTTTACCATTTAGAAATGCAGTATTTAAATGTTTATTTACACCGTGTATAAGTTTAACACACAGCTTTGAAAGGTTGGTGACTCCATCATTTGTCCCGTCACCACAGGGAAGGGATCGGGGGGGTGGGGGCTGCTAATGAATTCACTATCCAGAACCACAATGCCTTCAACATCACACATGAATACTGCAGTGGCATTTCAGACTTGTCATCAATGGCTCGTGTGTGTTTTGTTTAATCTACTTCTGGACGGTGGGTGAAGACGAGGAGCCATAGACCAGAGGTCGCAATCGAGTACCCGGTACCCGGCTGGGTACGGGTAGCTGTTTTCGACCCTGGTGCGGCCGGGTACGGGTACAGGTAGGCCGTGAGTCACTGGTGAGTAGCCGTTTGTCACTCATTTCGGGTAGGGTACGGGTAGGGAACGGCTACCCTGGTGCGGCCGGGTACGGGTAAGGAATCAAAACCCGTTTGCGACCTCTGCCATAGACAGGGTAGCACAGCACAGCGATGGGTTATGCGGCACTGCCCTCTGCTGGCCGCAAGTTGCGTAAGTCAACGGTCATCAGAGCGACTCGTCAACCACTCGGCGTGTCACCCACTTGACGACGTCTGGCCATTCACTTTGGTCAACGGGCGCTTAATTTCAGCCGGGACAGTCCGGAGGTGCTGCTCCGAGACTTATTTTGGCACCTCACCTCTCCCCCCCCCTCCCCCATCCTCCTGGCCTCTCTCTACGTGCACAGTCGACTCAAGGATCGCAGCGTCTGCTTGCGAGTGGGATAAATAACGTCTTTCATCTTAAAGTCATGATCCTTGATCCGGGACGTGCATTTCTCCACGTGGGCATGAAGGTGTACGTGAAGAATGTCCCCTTCCACATTCGTAGGAGCCATTTTCCCGGGACATGCATTTCTACATGTAGGCAAAAAGGTTTACGTGAAGAATGTCCCCTTCCATAAATTCGTAGGAGCCATTTTCCCGGGACATGCATTTCTACATTGGGGCAAAAATGTTTATGAGAAGAATGTCCCCTTCCACAAATTCGTAGGAGCCATTTCACCCGTGAAAGGAGTCGTGAAAAAGTGGTCCTCCTTCAGGGGCAGCAATGACTGCAGCAGTCTTAATGTACAAGTGCTGGATCACTCTTCGTCCTTTGGTTGGAGTGTGTCACCGCATGACTGCAGCCTCTTGAAGTCCCCCCCCCCCTCGTGTGCCACAGTGCTGCTGCTGCTCGCTGCCGTCTGTTAAAGTGCAGCAGCAGCAGCGAGAAGACGAAATTCCCTGCGTGGGGCAGCTGCAGATGCAGGCCGCCAAAGCTGCTTGTAGATGATGCTGCCGCTTTGTCCACGATCCGTCGTTCCGTCAGCCGCAGCCTCCGATCCTTCTTTCTTCCTCACCATCCTCCCTCATCCTCCTTCCCAATCAAGGTCCAGGATTGGTGGCTGGGATGACATCATCATGTCTTCCTCCTCCTGATCTCTGCAACTGCAGCCCTTAACTCGCTTACCATCTTTTCGATCACATCTCAAGATGGCCTTTCAGTTGATGATGTGTTGTCGCCCTTCTCTGTTTTGGTCATGGCATTTCCGTTGTTGGATGGTTCTATTGGTGATGTAACCACCTTTTAAAATAGTCCCTGCGAGTCACTCACGTGGGAATGCATAGAATTGATAATGGGGGTATCCATATTCTTGGTTCTTTCGGTAAAACTAAGTAGATAGAAAACCCCAAAAATGTATAACAAAAATAATAAATTCAAAATAATAAAAGCAGAAACCACAAAAAATAACATAGTAAAATAAAAGTTAAACTAAAAATAAATTGAAAATAAAAGCAAGAAACTCACGTTTCGATCGCAACACAAGCGGTCTTCATCATTTTAATTTAAAATTTTGGTTTTCTATCTACGTGACTTTACCGAAAGAACCAAGAATATGAATTCCTGCCGTCACGAAAGTTTTAAGTCAATGGGGGTATCCACTACCGGTTGGGTTGTTCACATTATGCATGCACATCGTTCCTGTGCATCCTGCCTAAGTTTGTGTGGACAGAAATCGCAGTTTCTTGTTGTCTGCTCACAGTTTATCGCCATCGGTGTGCAGTTAAACAGTCGTGTTACTTACTAGCAGGAAGTACCCGTCTTTGCCCGGGGTAAAAATATGTTACGAAACTTGTATTCTCTTAAAAACACAACATATGCATACACAACTACTAAGTTTTTGTGAGAGCCCAGCGTTACTTATAACAATAGGGGTTACCCCTTTTTTTGGCAGTAATACAATAGTTAAGATGTTAAAACGCAACTGAAATGAGGAATCATGTCACTGCATTCACCGCATATACTTCTGGTCAACATGCAAACACCATGCTCTGGTAGTATATGATAATGCATTGTCTTTGAAACTGATTGGTCCACACCAGAGACAGCTTTCTTTAGTGCCTAGTCACAAACGGTGTTGGAGCAGAGGAAAACGCCAAAAGGCGTTATAGAAAGGGTATGAAACCTGATATTGATATACTAGCAAGGGGAGGTCCTGTGAAGTGTATTAACCTGATGATTCGCTTCCACTAAGCCTGCAGCTACCCTGTAGCTACCCTGTAGCTAGCCTATGTGCAACTGACGGCGTGCAGTCGTAACCAGTGTCATCTCTGGGGGAGAGACAAAGGCGGCTGGGCAGACGACAACCACCCACTCTGTGTGGAACATTGCTGGCCTCCATAGGCGCTGTTACTGCTCGCCACTAATAGCCACTTGCCCCTACAGTCTGTTAGAGGCTACACGTGGGATCTTTGTCTGTGTAGGTGCTGCTACTCGCTACTAACAACACTTGCCTCTACAGCCTGCTAGAGGCTACACGGGAGCTTTGTCTTGTGTGTATGTGAACGTGGGGAGCGGTGGTGTAGTGGTTAGCGCTACGCTGCGCTACGAACCCGGCGACCCGAGTTCGATTCCCGGTCACGGCCGGCACCGGTGACGATTATCTGAACCGGCCCTGGGCCTCCCCTAGGTAGACTCGGCCTTAAATCAACACCTGGTGCGGGGAGACAAAGGCGGCCCGGCGTGGGGCTGGCCACCCACAATTAACCACGTGACGGGTGTACAAGTCCGGTTAATCAATAACCCTGCCAGCCACCCACAGGCCCAACTCAGTCATCGCATGCTGGTGTACACACGTGCATGGATGTACTGGACAGCACGTAAGGACTTTCACAGGACCACACTTTACTCCCTTGCTGCACGAGGAAATTATTGAATGAGTGGCCCATTCATAATGTGCCACACCTGCCGAAACAACTGGTAGAATAATACAGGGAGTGTGATGGATGGGTGTATAGCCTGCACTCCTCTTGTTAGTGCCTTACTCCGTTGATCCCCTTACAGTAAAATGTACTCCCGAAACAGCCCCTTATTGGCAGCGTTGCGGAAAAATATTGAAGATAAAATTGAACCACCTCCGGTGAACACGTGACTGGATGTACTGGTTGTATTACTGTGTTGTGAAACGGTTGTTGCAATTAAAGTTTTAATTTAGCACCGTATGAACGACATCGCGCCTTTTGTGTGTGAAGTGAACGAATTTATGACACTAGTCCATAAAGCCTGTCTTCGCCAGGAAAAAAAGTTTTCAATACATTTATATCATTGAACCTGATATTATTTTTGACAAATTTTTATCTCCGATCAGACACTAACTGCTCCAAAAATGTGTAATTTTTTCACGACATTGTGTTCTTGATTCAAGTATTTAAAGACGTACCCATTGGAAGCCGCTCATTTTAAATGTTCCATTTTTTTATTAGAAAGAACAAAAAATAATGAACTTAATACTCTGAGGGGGAGCTCCCATCTTTTACCGTTTTCGAATGATTAAAATGTGAACATCATAAAACGCGTATTTTTGCCGTTCAAAACAGCTTGAATCCGAAATATCTCAAACAATAGAAGATAAATCAGTGGTTCTCGCTTTAATTTTATTTGCTGTTTATTGCTCTCTCAAACGAAAAAACCCACAATCTTACATTTGAACGGTTTCTGAGTGACACTACGCACAAACGTGTTAATGGGGCACTTACAATCGAGACTTGGGGGCCTTAAAATGAAAAATCTCGGATTTTCAGATTTTTCCTGTTTGTCAGCTTTCTACCATGTCGGTAAGTGCCCTCGAGGTTTTTGAGACCTACAGATTAAGGTATTTATTTTTAGAAATAATATGACATTTTGTAATGACGCTGCAGCTGCTGCTGCTGCTGCTTGGTTTGCAGTGGTGTTCAAGCACAAATTAACAAACCCAACGCGCTCTTCAAAAGCACTGCCTTAAAAGGAAACAATATACAGCACTGTGTATGATTGACAACGTTCTGGGTAATGAGTCTTCTTCAATAGCATCCGCGAATGTTTTTGGTTGATATTAGCATGCCATGGTTTAATGTGTCGATACATTATTATCAACACCGGGTCGAGGGTGGCGCGGTGGCGAGATGTTAACTCTCTCGCCTGGTATGCAGGAGGTTGTGGGTTCGATCCCGACCCTGACGAAGAATTGGAATTTGTGTGTCTCTCTCTTTCCCCGCGGTCGTGTGGATTTTTCTCCGGGTCCTCCGGTTGTACCATCCACATTTAGAATCAACGTTTTGCGTTTGGAGTATTTGGCGTTTTATACATTTCTAAATGATAAGAGGTCACTTCGCTGAGCTGTCATTTGTGGTCAGGTCACTTGTGAAAAAGAGCGACTCAGCTCAGTGGACCTTACCTGGTAAAGTAAAAAAGTCACTTTGTGAGCGCTAAGACCCGACACGTCGTGGCATCACGTAAATTATCTGACATTTTAACGATTGCCAAATTAATCGAACAATATAGCTCAGTGGTGGCCTTTAACCTGGTCAAATCAAGAGAACGTTGAGTTGGTTATTCGGTTGAAATGTTCGACCTGGCCCGCCCGTGTGCTTTTGCTTTGCCTGTGTTGCATCAATTCCCACGACATGACAGAGGCAGCTGCATCCTTCCACCACCAGTGGACCATGAGGAATTGGAGGAGATTGAGGGGCCAAAATGCCCTCAAGGCCCTTATCTCCTGGGTCCTGCTGAGGCCTTGGGGGCGGTGAGGGGGGGGCCTTAGGGCTTATACTCGAACCCATGACGCCTCACGTAAGGTGAGGCTACATCGGTTCGAATTAGTAAAAATCTACACGATGTAAGAAACGAACAGACTAACATTAAGGAGTATTTATTTACGTATTTTAAACACGTGTTAACCATTCTTAATTCTATAACATCTTACAACATTATCACCTCGCGCTATACATTGGTAGGCCAAGAGTACCGAATGTGAAATCTTTACCGAAATTGAAACAAAGCGATCTTTATAACAGTTTGAAAATTACTTTTCTTACCTCGTCTTCTTCCCTCCGCTTAAGCGACTCGGCTTGTTGACACGAGCCTTCGCCGACTTTCTGCGCCGTTGCGCGGCAGAAACATCGCTGTTCAATTTAACACGTAGGCTTTCGCGACCAATATTATCCTTATTAATTGTTTTGGGTTAGATCGCGTAAATATGAATGTGTCGTTGAACCCGCCACCACCGACACAGCCAATTAGTAAGGGGTTTGCCACGTAAACAAGCATGTCAATTCGTTACTAGTACAGCACAACCGGTGTGTTGGAGAGTAAATCTGCAACATTTACAAATCGGCACGTTCTGTTTACGTGACGAACAAGTTTCATTTAAAGTTCATGTATTAGGTATAGCCCTGTGAGCCATTCGGCTCTTGAATCGGGTGCAACCGCAACAAACCAAAAACAAAAACATGAACAAAAAACTTCTTAAAGTGAATAAAGTGCAAACAGAAAATAAAAAAAGACAGCAAAAATATTGCAGAAAAAACACCGTACACCAACCTTACTAACTAGCCTTTTGCCCGTCTAAGGACGGGTGTATTTCAGTAAATCTGAAACTTGCAAGCGAAAAGCAGACCGCGACGTGATATACATTGCATCAGTGCGTGTGCAATTTGTAAGGGCGCGGTGACAGACTTATTTCATCTAAAGGTTATAATCCCTTGTTCATCATGACGTCCTTTTTACTTCGATGTCTCAACAGCTTTGCAGTGAGGGTTGTAAGTTGACGCTGAGGAGGGGGGAGGAGGCGCCTCGCCCCCCCATGTGGAGTGACGTCACCGACTAATTATTAATGGGAGGGGTGTCCATTTGGATGACGTCACCTCTTCATGATTATTAATGAGGGGGGCTGGCCGACATGGAGTGACGTCACGCGCGGGACACACGGACATTCTTGGCTCATGGTAGTAGTAAATTGGCTGTGTCGGGTGGTGGCGGGTTTAACGACACATTTATATTTACGCGATCTAACCCAAGTAACCTCTCTATTGTGGATCGCTCTTCAAATCAGTTCTGAGTCGCGTAGGACGATGGGCTGTAATTGCAGATTCTGTACCCTAAGTCTATCACCGGTCGCCTTTCCATAGACGTTGTCATGTTTCCTCCCCCAAAAACTTGAAATCAACATTTTTTTACAGACATTTAAAATACACAAAATCAATACTAAATTGAATGTTAAAGTTTCACAAGTGTTATTGTGCAAAAAAAATGGGCTTTAAAAAATCCGGACAGAGTATCAGACAAACTCACACTTGCTCCATAATTATAGTATGCATACCTGCCCATTCCTTATCAGTGCTTACCCCATTACAGACCAATTCAGACCTTATTGGTCACCCCGTGCCCTTATACATCTCAATGTTCATCCTACAAAGTCCCATTACAAGGGAGACACACAAACAAATACAATTGTTTTGCCTGTATTGAAACAGCTATACGCCATATGGCCCTGAAAAATAAATGTCCACGTACAGTATAAGAATACGGGTGAACCGTATGGGTTGACAGGTGATGATACCACAGTGTGACTGCTCTGATCACCAATCTCAAATCGTGCACCATCAACTGCCTCACACAGATCGCTTAAATCTGAGTCTCGGTCTCTATCTGAATATTTAGGTGGTCTCTGGTAAGCCATTTCAGTCTATATCTCAAAACACGGATCCATGTGTAGTGGCATAGCGCTGGCTGCTGCCGAAAAAGGGGATCTGCGGCGTACGGCAGTCCTGACGTCAGCAGGCCAGGATATACACGAGAGGGGGATCTAGGGGGGGAAGGTCACAGAAGGGGCCCACCAGGAACCCGTCAGTAGGTTCCAGAAAGGGGGCGTGGCTGGGGGCGGAGCCAGGCCACGTGACAGTATAAGAGGGGCCCCTGTGGGGACCTCGGGGCTGTTGTTGGAGTGGGATCTCTGTCGTGCTGCTCAAGTCCATCTTCACCATCCTTCTCGTCATCTTCACCATCCTTCTCGTCGTCCTCTCCGTCTCTACCATCTCGGGGCACCGCCAGTCAGGCCGTCTACCAACTGTCCTGGCTGAGTAGCGTCGCCGACAATAGGCAGACTAATTATGATTAAGAGTGTTAATCCCGACGGTGCTCGTTAATAAAGAAGTGCCTCTAAGTCTTATCGTCTCCGAGTCAACACCACTGCCCGCTCTCATAATTTCGTCTCGCAGCGTTTCAATTCCCGAAGTCGTCCGTCCGTCCGCCGGCTCGCCCACCGACCCCAGACATCAACGTTTCTGCTCAACTCGAGATTCGAACGTGCCCGTCCAGTGCTCACCGAGGTGCATTGGCTTCCAGTTACCGAACGAATACATCGTTTTCAGGTCGCACTCATTTACGCACAAAGTGCTCGCCACAAATGTACCACGGCACCTCGCCGATCTCGTCAAGGAGCATAAACCATCATCACGCGAACTCCGCTAGTCATCCTAGCAGCAGCGGATTTTGGCTAGCCATTGCACAAAGCCGGTCACTGCATTGTGCGCTTTCAGGTGCGCTTCTGCGGCCGTCTGGAACGCTCTTCCTTCCGATATGAGGAAGCCGCTGGAGCTATGCACTTTTTAGTCCAGACGGAAAGCTTTTTTTTAAAAGCTGCTTTTTGTGGTTTGTTGTCCTGCCCCCCCCCCCGCACCTCCGATTAGTACCGTTGGCTACGTACGGTTAAGAAAGAGTTCAACATACGGTACATTCTACACGCCTCCAAACGAAATAAAAACAAAGACTTCCAGTTCTCGCCGCCAGGAGGCAGTGCAGGCTTTGTAATGCATCGGGGAGCCTTCACTTTACGGGGGGCTGAATTTAGGACTTTCAAAAATATCTTTTGGCGGGTGGCCACCAATGAATTAATGAATACTCACAGCTCGTTCACTGCTGTTCCCGCGTGAGGCCCTTGGGAGGGACAGGGTGTGATAAAAGTACAAAACACACCGTTGAAAATATCGCCCACCCCCCCCCCCTACTACTACCCCCGTCCATTGCTCGATTCGTGCAGTCAAGGTTATTTTTGTTGTTGTTGCGTAGATGGATTAATATCGTTTGCTGACCATTTCGAAGTGTGAGGCCCCACTCTCTGCTGTGTGGGCTCTTGGTCTCTAAGCCCGTTCCATATCCACCGGAATTTCGGCTGTTTGTGAGCCCC